TAAGTTCCGCTCGCATTGCGCCTTCCTTGGGCTTTATGTTGCAGGATATACTAGTAATAACACCGCAGAATTCCGTTATTTTTCCTTAAGGGACTTAAGGATATTTTTCTATGACCTAATCTGCAGGCAAAATGCCTATTCTTTAAAGTTTAGTTTATAGGCAGCAGTGGTGCTAAAACTTCTCGAGACTTCGCATGGCTATTAGGGATTAGTTGGAGGAGTGTCTTTAGGGCAGCCGAGCAATTTCTGTCAATCTCCCTTTAGGCAGAATTGGAATACATTGTAGAATAAATTCATTCCCTGCATAATTCTAGTAAAATAGAGAATCACGTATCACATCTGAGAGGCTTAATTTCTGATTGTAACTACATAAATCAACAGAAAGCATCCCTCTCAAGAATATTTTGAGACCCATACAGTGATTGAGTTACAAATGCGTTTCTCATGTCCTTATTGTGAAATGGAGGTCATAAAATACATCAGAAGATTGAAATGAGGCTCTTGGATATAGATCCTCATCCATTAAATTAGTGTCTCTCACTGGGTTTTAGTTTCACTGCATTCGACAGTCTGAATTGAGTTCAACAGAACAGTCTCCTAACAGCAGAAAATCTCAATCAATTTCTAAAATGTATGTGCATAGAGTCTTTGAAGCCTGTACTGTACCTGTCTCCAACAAATAACTTCTGATTGCCTGAATAATAGCACAGATAATGTTTCAGTAAACTCCTTGAAGTCTGAGAGCAAAATCTGCACTTCCTTAAGAGCCGAATCTCTTGATGAGAAAAGAGTTGAGACTAAAAGCCAACTTAAGTGTTAGGAGAAGCCCATGCATAGGTCAGAAGAAGTCACTGAAATTAATCATTCTTAATTTTTGAGAAGCAAGGAAATTCGGTCTCACATTTCTCCCCCATCAGATTTCTTTTCTGAATAGCAAAGAACTAAAATCGTCTGAACAAGCTAATAAAGTCATCTAGGAAGTTGAGCTCATTTCCAACATTAGAATAAATGCTGTACCTACAAAAGAGGTGAGTTCATAGGAAGCTGATGGCAAGCTCTGTTTCCCTAAATGTTCAAAGCTTTGTTTGTCTTTTTCTAAAAGCACAAAAGCAGTGATGTCTCAGTGGTTAAATCAAAACCTCCATCATTTCCCCTAAAATACTCTTAGCAAATTAGAAATGTTGGGAGTCGAGCCTGCTAGCTTCTGTCTGCTGTATGCTTGCCTATGGTCAAAGGAAGGTCCTTTAAAGGACATAGGTCTAAGCAGTGGATTTTCTAATTATGTAAGTTAGTTTGATACTTGGGTAAAGGATGATTTCCATATCATATTGCTCGAAGAGCTGTTGGGATGTGGAGTGAATATTGTAATAATGCAATAATACTTGTCACTAAGTATCTGTTTGGAAGCATAATGAGATTTTACCTTGTATTCTTCCCAGCAACTGGGGGATATTTTATTCTTCAAAAGTTGTTGGCTCAATTTTGCATCTAGTCAAGTCAGGTGGATTTTGCCATGTCAAGTAGATACAGGAGCATAAAGGAGAATATGACCTCAAAAGTAGATGGAGATAAGTCACAGCCACCAGATGCAGACTAGAAGCATAGTGGAGGTCTCCTTAAGGTTTTGACTTAGCCTGTCATATACCCAAGGGATTGTTAAGAAAATGTGTGTTTGCACACGTCCATTACCCACCAAACATCCACAGGTCAGACCTGGGGTTTAGGTACACATACATCTTTGGTAGCAGTCACATAAAAAAATCAACAGTAGGTTGTATTTCCTTACCTATAAGTGTAAACGGATAACAAAGGATGACACAATTTAAAATTAGTAAGAGAAAGCAGTTTTTCAAGTGTGTGCACTAAGTGGAGTGGAAAATGTTCCTACCATCTTTCTCTGAATTCCAGTGTTAGAGCTCTGCATTTCTGCTTATTTTTCCTATTGTCTCTTGTAGAGCTCCAGTGATTACCGTGGCCAGCTAATTCTGTTCTGAGATTGTAATGCATTATACCATTTCTGTATAACAGGAAAGGGAACTTCCTCTTTAAAGCTACGTATTACTAAGAAGGATTTCTGATGGGCGGAGTTTTCTCTTGAGCAGGCTAAATAAAGGCTTGCAGGATTTACAGACCTCTCAGACTGCAATCAGCATGAACTGCAGCCTGCCAGACAGAGTGCTGCTCAGCTACGCGATGGATGGACAGCAGGACAGGTTGTGCCTTCAGTCTCTTTGGGACTTTGTCACAGCAAAGGAGCCATTCATCAAGTCACCATTTTTTCCAGTGCTGTTTTCTTTTACAGCATACATGGCTTTCTGTCTTCCATATATTGCACTGGACTTTTTAAGCACTAGACTACCAAACTTGAGAAAATACAAAATCCAGCCACAGAACTATCCAACTCTTGGAATGATGGTGCCTTGCATTATTCAAAGTGCATATCACCATGCTGTTCTGATCTTCCCGGTGACATTTCTCCACTGGTACTGGAGACCAATGAATCTACCAGTGATAGCTCCAGAGCTGCCTGAGGTCCTGCTGGGAGTAGTAGTTTGCCTGCTTCTGTTTGATTTTGAGTACTTCCTGTGGCATTTGCTTCATCACAAGGTGCCTTGGCTCTACAGGACCTTCCACAAGGTGCATCACAAGCATGTGTCAACGTTTGCTCTTACTACACAGTACTCCAGTGTATGGGAATTGCTCTCACTGGGATTTTTTGCTGCTATCAACCCAGTGCTCCTCGGATGCCACCCTTTGACAGAAATGATTTTCTTCCTTGTAAACATTTGGTTGTCAGTGGAGGACCATTCAGGCTATGACCTTCCATGGTCAACTCACCGACTTGTGCCGTTTGGTTTGTATGGAGGAGCACCGCATCATGATCTCCATCATCTGAAATTCAAATCAAACTATGCTCCTTACTTCACCCACTGGGACAAACTCTTCGGGACATTCACAGAGTCGCATTATAATTAAGGATATATACCTGTGAATGAACTCTTATCTTTTATAGACTAAACTGGGACATTAAGTTTTGAAAGACGTACAAAAGATTGTATATTTGAAGCTGCCTAAGCAATAGCTATTTATAAAAATCCTCTTAATATATGTGTATTTGTATGTATACTTGGAACTGCCTATGTTAAGTGACTGCAAATGGGAAGGTAAATATCTGTTGCTTAAATTTGTTTGAGTCAAAGGTGTAAGGGAAGCATTAAGAGACATTCTCTCTTCTTTCCTTCTTTTCAGCTTTCATAAAGCATGTATTGTATTACTGTATGGTGTTTTATACATACGCCAGAACAATTATCTTACTGTTGTAGGATGATTCATGATGTAAACAGAAAAGGTACACATCATGGATTTTGTGGAGTTTAATCTGCCAGAGCATATTATTGCACAATGATGTTGTAAAATATTGCTGCCAAACAAAGCTAGTTGGCTACCTGTGCAATAATTTTGATATTTATATTTTAAAACTTGATGTACTATCTGTTTTTAATAGAAAATAAATATGGTCATTCTTTTAAAATTATATTGTTTCATTTCATTCATTCCTCTGTTCATATTAGGAACAGGTATGATTCCTGTTGCATAGGTGTCATTTATTTGAGTTTCAGAGTTTCAGGCTTTTCTTATTAAAATATTGTCATGTTATTTCAAAAACGAACCAATTACTCTTTCTCCAGAATCATGTGTTATTTTTAAATAGTTTTCCGTTTTGTAGAAACAGAATATTGAAGAATGCAGTTTAAAAAGCCATAGTGAAATTTTATTATTGCATTTGCGAGAAGCTTGAATAATTGTCCTGGTTTCAGCTGAGAGGATTGATTTTTCTTCATAGTAGCTAGTGTGGGGATACGTTTTGGATTTGTGCTGGAGACAGCATTGATAATATAGAGATGTTTTTGTTCTATGGACTTACTGTTGAGCAGTGTTTACACGGGGCCAAGGCCTTTTCTGCATCTCGCACTGCCCTGCCAGCGGGATGGCTGGGGGTGGACAAGAAGTTGGGAGGAGACACAGACAGGACAGGTGACCCAAACTGACCAAAGGGGTATTCCATACTATATGACGTCATGCTCAGTTTATAAGGAGCTTGGGGGAAGAGAGAGGGGGGGCAGCGGCGTTTGGAGCAATGGCGTTTGTCTTCCCAAGTAACCGTTACGCGTGACAGAGCCCTGCTTTCCTGGAGATGGCTGAAC